TCATGAATTGCGCGCAAGGGTGAGATCGTTCCTCATGACGTGACATTAAAGAACAAAAATCTTTTAACCCTCTGGCTATTGTTCCGTTGGAACGAATGGCGAATGTTATTGACACTAATTGCAACGATAGAAATATCGGATCAGACGTAAGTGAATTCCAATTCTATTCAACAGTTACATCTTTCGTTAGTCATATATTATTTAAACGCGATTATTTCACAGTTGTTTCATTTAATACCCTTGAAATGGAAAGGCGTGGTAATAAATTAATCAGAAAAAGACGTGACCATGCGGTGTGTAGAAAACATTACGAATGCAAGAAATGTGATGTAGGATTGTGAGATATATACATGTAGATTATTAGATATATTATGAAGTACAGTTTAAAGTCGCCGTTAAGTTTTTAGTATGTGCAATAACAATACAGAATACGAATAAATGAATAACATTGATTCAATGTAGCGCAGAATTCAATTATTTCAATATACTTTCTGAGAAATCTTGTCACCGTAGGTGGCGATTCAAAGTTTTCAAAGCCATAGCCAAGGGGTTAAAATAATCTATCAAACTAAAGAGACAACATTCGACCAAAGTATCACGTTAAAGTACTGAAATGCTCGTAGTAATAAATTACTACAACCACTATTTATAGTCCTCAGCTACTACCTTCGTGGTACGAAATTAATAGAACGTTATCCCCGCGTCTTTAATTGTTATTTTCTCCTCTGCGTTCCACACAGCACAGCATCGGCGCGCATCGAAAGAAATTATCTGCACTCTACAAATCTCCTTCGATAACCCTTCGCGGGAATCAATCAAACGGCATCGATCGATCAGAAGTGGAGGCAATCTCTGCTCGAAGTCGTAAACTTCGGCGTAGTTTCTCGATCGTCGTCCACGGCGGTCGGTTCATGGGAGGCCGAAGAGCGGACGAAGAAGAACCGCGGATCTATTTGCCAGAAATGGCAACGGGTACGGTAATGTGGAACGTCTACGGAGGCCTTTACGTCGAGGCTGACCTTTACGCGTCTCGCTGGAGAGAGAGAGGGATGGACCCGCATATCGGCGCGGCTGTGCTCCACTCGCGCGATTATCGCGCCGCTCGATCGCGCGCGCCCGATCCGTTCAATTTCACGCGGCATTTCGCCCAAATTTCCGGCCCTCCGCGATTTATCCACAAACGCGTTCTTCCTCGAGTTCTTCGACGAAATTGAAAAATTTGCCACCAACATAAGAATTATTATCATCCGCGTTGCTTAATGCCCAGATTAATTCGCGACAAATTTAAAATCATGCGCTTTTGCTTATAAAATTTGTTTCTCCTTGCGTAATATGTTTCTTTTCTCTTTTTCCATTCGTAGAATAAAATTACGGAACGTGACATATATATATATATATATATATATATAT